TTCTGCTTCCGTAACTGCGGAAGTTTCTGCTTCCGTAACTGCGGAAGTTTCTGCTTCCGTAACTGCGGAAGTTTCTGCTGCCGCAATTTTTATAATAGAACTTAATCCGATGTTTATAATGTCCGCGATTAAGTGCAATTACGTAACCAAGAACAAGCCCTGTTTGGAACTGAAAGGGTTGCAACCCTAACAACCGTGATCAGGATCAGGGCAGTAAAACAGGAAACTTCCGGTCCACAAATTTATTTAACGTAAAGTAAAAAAACTGTAACAAATAAAAGGTAGACGTAGAAAACAGTACATTAATAAAAAACACTCCCTAACTTAATCTAAAAAATGGTAGATGTTAGATTTAGGCACTTACCCCTTATCGGGTTTTATTATGTTGAATTACAGATATTGGATAGACTGTTATTCGCTCATTGTGGTCGATACATGATTAACATTGTTTGTATTATGATTAAACTTGAAAAGAATAAAAAATTAGACAATTTGATTTAGTAGTTCTGTCCGCTATCGCGGTCAAGCAGAGAGTGACCGTGGTACGACGAAAAAATGAGAAAGCGAAGGAAGATGGAACAATTCAAATTGAAAATTTAAATACAAGCAAAAGAAAAAATTATACGATACAAAAAGGTGTAACGGTGTAAGGAACACCGTCACGGAACTATTTCGTTGAGATCTTTCTATAAAATACTAATAAATATTATTATTTACACTTCTGCTTCCGCTTTCGTTGCCACTAAGATTTATTTTTGACATCTGTTTCCGTTTAACTAGTAAGGATGCTAGTGAAATTACGGGTGCAAAGGATTTTTCAACTTATGTCTCAGGATGAGAAGTGCAGTGACAGCGCCCTTCAGATCTTTGCGATTTAAAGTCCTGAGCAGGAAATTACCTAATTATCTACCTATAGAAAAATTCAAACCCAAAATCATTTCAAGAACGTGTAATGGATAAACCTATACATTCAATTAAGTTCGGCAAACTTGAGGTTCTTGCAAAAAGAAGTCCGTTATCTACCCAAGATGCTGCGAGAGGCCAATAAAATTAAAAAACAACCTAATTTCAACAGGGAAGATGGTTTCTCTGTAGAATTAGTTCTGGGATCCTCTGATGAAAAATTCCAAGCAGACATGAGACTTCAGTGCTTATAATATTGTTTCAATTTGTTTATAATTTCCTTTTCATTAAAAAATTTCATTTAATAAGAAATTATATGAAAATTATCACTCATTACAGGTTTCATACGGTATGATTTCTTTTTATTTTCTAAACATTTCAACTCGTGTCCAGAGAACGTCTAGCCATTTGGAAATATCGGGAATAATCATACATATATATTTACAAAGAATTTCTTGCTCATTCTCCTCCGGGGAAATTTGCCTTACGAATGAGCATAGAGTTTGATCAGTATGACAATTTCACGTGTAATTTCCTTACCTATGAAATAAAGATTGTTTGACTTTGACTTTGACTTACTGTGGTTAGAAACCTGCAATTACCTTATAATCAGTTAGTGATTAGCCACGAAAGTTAAAACCTATATTTAATAGTTTTATTTTGTAGGGACATTTATACAAATGACTTCTCTATAAAAATATGCACGTGTACCTAACCAAGGTAAATATGCAACTTGTCTAAGTAATATAAGGTTATTGTAGATAAATAATTAAGTATTATTTGTCTACGCGTGTATTATAATGTTTATAATACAATAGCTTTGCTGTTGTCTGGCAAAAAATCAACTTGATCCTAGTGTATTATTTTATTTGTATTACAATATTGTTTTATTATCTTTCCCGGAACTCCGTGTTAATACAAATGATATTTAATTTAGCTAGAGTTAAACAATGCTTTTTTTCACACAGTTTTAGTCAAAGTCGGAAGCAGCGACCTCTTTGTGACTACATTGTGAGGTTAAAGATACATTGACCTCCAGTTTAATCTACATTTTTTGCTTACAAAATATTAGTATGTCTAATTTTAAGTTTTGGAACGAGTCATCAAACCTTGGAGCCTCCGTGTTGAAGGACATCCGGAAATAGACAAAAAGCTATAAAATTAGCTAAGAGCTCATGGCGTATTTTATATGAACCGGCGACCCGCGTTTGCGAATGCGCGTTTATGGCGTCGTATACGCGCGTCATCGCGCGCATACATCGCGTTGTAAGCGAGAAGCTTAAGAGGGAGCAGAGGAAAAATTCCTAATTTTCGATTTGATTTTAGAGGGGTATATCCACTTTAAAGGTAAAAATAAAATATTGTATGAGTAACTACACGATATATTCAAGCATAGACACTAATCAGAAACATAAAACAATAAAGTTTCCTCGATAGATAAAAATCACGAAATGACCTCTAATTTTCACATTTTTTCGATTCATCCTCGAAATTCTACAGGTTATTAGGACCAAAATTAGATAATTAATTATATTTATGCATGATCGAGAACTGTCACTACGGATTTTTTTTAATCCCTTTAGTTTTAGAGTTATTCCGCTAAAACGAATTTGGTACTTTTAATGCGCAAAATTCAACATCTCCTGTCGCATGTCACGCGAACTTCAGGTATATATTTGTTTCACAAATTTGGGCGGAGCCAACGTCAAAACTTTTTTGGCATGAGAGCTCTTAATACCTCACTGGAGTTCATGTAGTTGCTTCATTTCAAAAACTAACTGAACAAACAAAACTAAAATTACATAGTTTCAATTTTTGATAGTATCTCTTATCAAAATGTGCGATACATACTCGCGATTACAGCGCATCTGCGGCGCGTATATGTGCAGATGACGCGCATTTACGGCGTGTTTAAAATACGCCGTGTGCATAGACTCTTAGCCACGTTGAGGCGACAGACGCGAGTACAGTCGAGTAGAGTCGGTTTGTGTTTGTTCCATAAAAGTGAATAATATGATGATGAAATTACAGGCACACGGGACTTATCAACTAATGTCTCAGGGCGGCAGGCGCAGTGGCAGTGCCCTTAAAATCTTTGCGATTTAAAACTCTGAGGTGCACTACAGCTGCTATGGACAGGCGTGTCACTTACCACCAGCCGCGCGACTTGTTCTTCCTGTCACTGACAGCATCAACAGTTAATTACTTTATGTATACTAAATGATGCACCCATAGTTGTCGGTTAAAAACCGCTTGCCGGGTGTAACGTCAATTTTATCGTGGGAAAACAAACAGACTCTACGCAACACGTTACTATTATATTAAACGGGGATTAGATAACATACCTGTCCATTACCGTAACGTGTCCAAACAACACAGGTGTATTAGACGTCTATAGTAATCAACTGAAGAGTGAGGAAAATTCCATTCCTTGTGCCGTTTTTCGTTCTGAGGGCAGTATTGTAAGAGGCTAGTGGAGAGCAATCGGGGCAAAAAATTCACCTCTTGGCAGGCTTGGCGGGACCCCAATTTTGCAGACCTATGTTAAGTTATGGTTAAAGAAGTGGATGGGACAATTACATACGTTTCTTTTCAGTGTGCTGAAATGGCTGAAGAGTATATTTTTTAATAAAGATTTTAAATACCTTAGGATTATTTTTTACCAATATTTTCAGTTTTTATTGAAACGGATTCAAAAGCTCTCAAAGGAGATGTCTCTTGAAAACCATAGTGTACATTTTTTTTTATTTTACACCGATTTAATGGTAATGGTTTTGCCGTAAATTCAAGAAGCTCAATGTTAAATTACTGCTAAAAGAAGAAGAAGAAGCCCGTAATAGATGAGGAAATAAGTAAATATGTAAAGTGCACGATGGTACGTTACGCTTCAGTATACTATAGAGTATATTTTTCAACCATCATCATCAAGCTATTACATGTCTCACTGCCTGACACGGGTTTAATATCTAAGCAGGATAAGACTAGACAGCAAAATAGAAGGTACGTACGAGTATCATTGCAATTGGTAATTTCAATTTATATCGTTGTTTTTTCATTTCCAATAATCGTGAAAACACTACATCTCAAAAATTATTTTATTTTTTTTGTATTTTTAAACGTCTCCTAGGCACTAGTTTCAACTTATAGAAAGATACACGTTACAAATTCAACAGTGCCGTCACGTGGCCCATAAAAGAGCTCAAGACGGTTCAGTGGCCGGGGCACAAGGACTGCACTGTTCATTTCGAAGCTTGGGTTGAAGGGAGAGCACACAACCGTGTAAGGTTTCGGTCTTAACGCAGATGAATGTTCGTGGGATTTATTAATCCATTTCTGTTAATTAAACTAGTAAATCGTTAATATTAAAATTACTAATAAATCAGTTTGAAATACCGTGATTTTAGAGAGATGTCTCCACCGAGAGTTTTTGAATCCATTTCAATAAAAATTGTCACCATCGAGACTTTTTGAATCAGTTTCAATAAAAATTGCAAAATGTCGGTATAATTTAAAGTTATGTTTTTGAAAAGCTTTTGCTTGTTGTTTGTTGCTTCTAAAATTCGAATCCCAGTGTATGTACATGTGTATATAAGTTACGTTCATTTGTGAATGATAGATAGAAACCTCTCGCTAACGGCGAGTGAAAACATCATCATGAAACATGAAAGTCGAAGTTTAGAATTCTTGAAGAATACGCATTAGGCCAGCGTGGTGGATTATGGCCCAAACTACAGAACAATAAATACAGTTAGTTAGCGTCAGACGTCATTAACAT